TGATTGTGCAAGAATGGACTGCTATCAGTCAGGATTTGGTCCAGAAGTTGATTGAGAGCATGCCAGGGAGAATTGCAGAGGTGCAGGAGATTGACTTGCTGCATTAATTCATTCTGTCATTAAAAACTTTTGTTACTAATAATATGATTGCAACTGTATTTTTGTATGTGATGACAATATCTGACATACACACATGAAAACCAGAGGGCAGCAGATCATGTGAAAATATAATATTTGTGTCATTTTCAATACTTTTGGCCATGACTGTAGAAGCCGAGATCCACATCCAGCCATTCAGCAAAGATGCTGCTACATGGCTGTACATCTTATTTTGGCATTTGACCAATTAGATGAGCCCTTAAATGACATATTACCTACTGTAAATTAAGCTGAATAAAAAAGTTAACAATTCAAGAAAAAATGTGAAAAGCTAATTGAAAATTTAATAAGCCTAGTTAATTATATTTTGGTTTATAAACTAAAAAAAGTATCAGCAAGTTGGCGTTTCTTTTTATTACATTGACATTCAATTCATCTTTGTCATCAAAATATCCATATTTTTTTAATGTTACAAAGGTAATAACGTGTTTTCCTGGATTTTAAAAACACTATTGGCTTGAAATTTGAATTTTCAAAGTATTTCACTGGGTGCCCTATAAAGGGTTAAAAATAATCAAAGTCAAATCATCTGAATCAACTATAAAACCCAACAGAACGCTGAAATATGTTAGCTGTTTTGGCAAAGTTTATTTTAAGGCAAAAGCTAATATGTAGCAATTTAGCCCCATAATCATAATAAAGGTTTGGTTTATGATGGCTCTTCCAATATTTGAAAGAAAAATACATACACAACATTTCAAATGTATATATACAAAGCCTTTTGTGATTATATATATATATATATATATATATATATATATATATATACTTTATTTTTTTATTTTTTTTGACTCGATGAGTAACACTGCAAGGTCTTAAGGCTTTATTTTCCAATTAGGTTTTCTCTTTTAAAATGGACAACCCAATCAGTAACCGATGTTCAATAATACATTAAAAGACTAGTCAAACAAAAAAGAAAGCATCTATTTGAGCTGGATTCCGTTACAATAACGTCCGGCTTCATGCTAACTTTCTGGCTTACAGAAGATAGCACCAAGCTAATCATTTAAACACGTACCTCGGTGTTGCGCCAAACGCCTCCTTTTATCATAATTCGCGGCATCTTGACGGTCTGGCGGTTTTCTCTCCTTCAAGAAACGAAATTAAGTAAACAACTCTCCTCAAAAAGAACGTGAACTGTTTATTCTTTGAAGAAAACGTCTACTTAACGCGGAACGCTACGAAAAACAACCATGCACCGGAAGTACTGAGTTCCGGAAGGTGTTCAAAAACTAGTTTCCGTCCAAATTAGTTCCCCTTTCAACTACGGTGACACTAATCCATTCTGGCTGACAGTGCCGCAGTCAGAAGGCAGTGATTAAAAATGTCTTAAAATGTTTATTAGCTATTATGGCTAACTGCAGTTCCTTAAAAACATTACTTAATACATTTGTGTATATAAATGTATGGGAAAATTACAAAACTGTTTTTATGTTTACATCCTGAATAAAATCAATTTATCAATAATATGTCCTTTTCCATTGAGGATTTATATGTCATATAAAATAATTTAAAGGAAAACTCTGGTCATATTCAGAATTCAAACTTCTGAAAGTATTTTAAATATGAAATTATTATATACTGTTCAATAAATGATCAGTGTTTTTTAATTAAGAGTAATTTTCATTTGAATGTGCTTTACTGGAGGCATCCATGTTTGTCAAAGAACACTACTGCCACCTACTGGTTTGTCACGTCACGGTGCGGTATCGGCTGTTGATCAAGTCCCAGTGCTGTATCTGGTGTTTGTCACAACGCGCTATTATCCAAGTCATCTTAAAAAATGTCGGCTACATATTAC